AAACATGCTCCCTCTTTTTTTTTTTCTTTGAAGAATACAAAACAATCTTCCAATTTTTAAGCGGCTCTACTGCTGAAACTGCTGGGGGTCAGAGCTGACATCTGGCAGGGAATCAGTCCTGGCCGAAAACAACCATGGTGCATTCCTGTAAACACTGAGTTTCAGTTGTTGAAAGCTATGTCCACCCAGGCACAGCACATTTTGCAGTGATGGTACCTTTTAATCAACACTTGGAATGCTCGCAAGCAGTCTGGAGAACAAAAACAGACTCTTGAATGATGTGACTGAAAGTTGAAGGCAGTGGGGATGGACGGATGGATGCAGGCAGAGGACAGGTTTCACACCCAAGGTGGGAGTGGGACAACAGCACAGCCTGGAGTTACCTACAGGCAGCAGATGAGCAGCTGTCCTTGAGAAGAGCAACATGAATGAGATGTATGCAGTCAGGACCACTAAATCCCTCCTTGGCCAGAATCAGGCTATAATGGTTCAGTGATACATCACTGAAGGCTTCCCAGAACTACATAAATACCATAGAGAATTTGATATAAATTATGAAAGGATTTAGGTTGGGAGGGATGTCTGTAGGTGTCCAGACCAGCCCCTGAGCAGGTTAGCACCCCAAAGCTGGGTCAGGCTGCTCAGGGCCTTGTCCAGACATGTTCTGAACATGTCCAAGGATAGAGATCCCACCTTGCTGTCCCAAGGTTGTGCCAAAGATGCAATCCAAGCCTCACAGATGCTGCACATCCATGTATCCTCAGCACAAGGAGAGCTGGTTATCTGCAGAGGAAGGGAAGAGAAGAGGATGAGAAAGAAAGGCAAAGCCTGCAGAGAAGACACCATCACAAACACCACCTGACTTATGCATGGCAGAAACCAGAAAACTGGGTTGGGTGTCTATAAACTAGGGGCTGGGGTTGGCGTCACCCCTTCTCTCCCTGAAGGGACTCCAGTGACACATATTCCCCAGAGATCTTGAGGTCCCTCTGTGGCCATGGAACAATGACACTGTTTCTGTCAGTCATGCCAAGAAGAGCATTCCACCACTGCATGTGGCTGCAGCTCCAGCACTGGTCCCACTGAGCAGCATCCTTGTGTTGGCAAAACCTCTTCCCATAACAACTAGGAGAAGGGACTGACAGAGAAGGAAGAGCTGATGGAAAGTTAAGATTGGGAGGGGGTACAGCTGGGGTCACACTCAAACCCAACAGACACACGTACAATGGGACCTGACAGTGCTCTGTGGCTGGCCAGGAGAGGCTGCCTAAGCCCCTGTGGTCTCCAAAGAGTCCCTGCAATGCTGCCAACCCCCCTCCGGCTTCGAGAAACATCCCAGCACCAAGCGTACAGAGACAGCTGAGAAGATCTTGACCACGATGCTGAGTTTGGTTTCTGTGGTGGCTTCCAGACTCGTGCCAGGGACAGAATGGCTGCCTCAGCTGCCAAAGGGATGTCCTGTGGAGCTGTGCCATGGACTGCAAGCAGGGCGGTTCAATGTTTGTCCAAGGAAACGTGCATGGCTGCAGCAATGGGATGCACGGATGGAGACCACCTCTGCCAGCCATGCACAGAGGACCCAGCAGTCCTCAAAATCCCTTTCAATGTTTTAGCAGCCACCCATCCGGCCCTGTCTCAGCACCAAAGCTGTGACTCTTGTGTGGTTGATATGAGCAGGTGGTTGATGCTCCCCTGCTCCAGAGCTCCAACTGTGCACCAGCCCAAGCACATGCTCCAGTCTGGACTCCCACTGGTGCCCTCCTGTTGGGCTGTCCAAGGGATTGTCCAGAGTTTTGGCAAGAAAACACAAGAGCTACAACCGCAGCCACATGCTGGGGTGTTGCCTTGTCACCTCGCTGCTACCCACTGCTTGGACCTAGCTGCAGATGTCAGAGCTAGCTCAGCAGGGAGCCATGGAAACAACTGAGAGATGGTGAAAATGCCTCTGAATACAGGACTTGACAAGCCTGAAGGTTTTGCTTGCAAAAAGTAAGACTGAGAAGGGACTTGACTTGATTCCCAGGTACTATGAGCCCCATCTGTGACTCATAACCTACCTCTCCCCCACCCCATGCCCTGGAAGGCATTTATCTGGGATTCTGTAGCAGGCAGACCTACAGAGGTCTCTATTTCAGACAGCCTCTTCAGTGCTTTTTTCTTTTGCAGCATCTACAGGGGTGATAATGCGTCAGTTAACAATGAACTGCTGCTGAACAAAGGCAGGAAGACATAAGGATGTTCAACCATGGGAAGTAGCAGCTTGCCTGTCCCTTGGTGCTTTAGATGAAGTCTGTGAGCCAATCTGGAAGACGCACTGTAGCCAAACATGAGGCACTTGCACAGCAGGTGACATGAGAAGTTTAGCTCACATGCTGCCCAGTCACCAACCCCCAGAGCAGCCTCAGCTTCCCCGAGACCATGACAAGTCCGAGCCCTCCCTGCGACCTGCCCCTCACACATACCTTTCTTCTGAGCCCATGCCGCACAGGCACCATAAAGCCCCATCACACCCTGTTAGCATTGGTCTCCTATGACAATGCTGTCAACAGTGCATGGGGCAGGGTTGGGGTCCCAGCCTGGGACATGTAGCTATAGCAAAGGGGTGTTTACTTGTGTGTTTTGTGTGTGAGTGATACCCGTGGGACAGCTCTGTGTGTGTGGCACAGGGGGTACGTATCTGGCATCTCCCCCAGCAACTATGTCAGCATTGAGGGGAACTGTGTGCCACCTGCACCTGCTGGTCACCACAATGGGAGCCGTGCTGGGGATTGGCTGCTGGGACCCTCCTCCATGGAGCTGCCACAGCCTCCAGGAAAGCCCCCAGGCCCTTCACCCTCTGCACCGGTGCTGGATGTAGTCCCTGGTGGTCTCGCTCCTGCCTTCGTTGTGGATTTCCTCACCTCGCTATTGCACTGTGCAGCAAACACATAGGGCCTCTCATTTTCTACCTTCTCCCTTTCTTGTCGGGCCTTACCCAGATCCGTGCCTTCCCAGCACTGGCCAAATAGCACAGCTTTTCCCCAACACTTTGCAAACTTCAGGGAATGCTTCCAGCTCTTTCCCATGGGCAGCTCATGAAGAGCTTGGCTCTGCCCTGGCCAAATCACAAAGGGCTTGGATCCTGTTCCCCGTCGCAAGTGCCAGGGGTGGGGAGATCTTGCCTCACATATATTCTTTCTAGGTACAAAACATGCTTTCAGAAGTCAGAGCCATTTCTCTGGCAAGGGGCAGAAGCTGCTAGAGACAGTCAGCTGCCCGTTATGATTCCCAGCAAGGTCATTTTCCCAGCCATGCCCTCTGCATGTTTTGCAGACACACGCACTGAGGATGCATTGCCTGGACACCCAGCCAGACCTGACTGCAGGTCTTCATCCCACGGGCCACAGCATGGCCCTGAGGCCGCTGGAACTGCTGCAAAGCTGCTGGAGCCTTCATCCACGTCGCTCCTCTCAAGCACAGAGCTTGTGTTTAATGACTGCGTGTGTTTTTGCTCAAGCATTACATCATTCAGCAATGCCAGCTGGGCAGATGGGCCAGCTCGGCTGCTCTGCCCTGATGATGCTCACCCCCTCTCCACACCCAGGGGTGCTCTGTGCCCCACAGCCCTCAGTCTTTTGCAAGGATGCAGGTGAGCAGAAAATCAGCATCCACGCAAAAAGCCTACTGAGGAGCTCAGTGCCCCCTCCATCTCTTTGATGTGTCCCAGCGCTAGGTGCAGAGGGCAAAACTCTGTAATTTCCACCTCCCAGATTTCCTGCTCTGTAGCCATTGACACCTTCCCTAAAATAAAGTGGGAGCTGAGATAAGCCAGACAGCCAGGCTCCGAAATGACTGTCCTGAGCATGGATTTAGCTCACACTTAATTAAGTGGGCGTTCAGGTTTGGGACCTTGCACCTCTTGCAGGCAGAGAGGAACTGACTGGGTGGATTTGCGGATAATCTGCTGCAGATTTCTGTAGCCACGGAAGGAGCATGGGGGGAGCTGCTCACAGAAAGGGGGTTCAGGCAGTGCATGTCCTTGCACGTGATCTCATTCCTTGGGCTGTGGGCCGGGGCTCACAGGAATAGAGCACTGGGATGAGCAGTGACTTGGTGCCTGGCAGAGTGGAACCCCCCATGTCATAGCTGAAGCGATGGGCTGCAGCGCCGGAGCACGGCCAGTGCCGCAGTGACAAGGGTATTTTGTTCTTGCTTCTCCTTTCCACACACCCCACTCCCCACCCCTCTACCTCCCCCGTTTAACGCGCTGCCTGCTCCAGCAGCTCACCGACACTTGTCCAGAGACACCCGTTGGGAAGGGGGACGAGGTGGCATGTGGGGACGCACGGAGCCTAAATTTGCACCAGCATCTGGTTCTGCACTCAGAGCTGACAGGGGGTTGGAGCCCCTGCGGCCCCAAATGAACTGGGGCTGGAAAGAGTGGAACAGCCCAGCACGGCTGCAGGAAACTCCCCGGGCTCTGGAGGTGGCCAGGGGACGCGGTGGCTGGGCGCTGCGTGTCCCCAGGACACCCCAAGGTCGGGGCCGGGACGCGGACGCACGCTCCCGGGCCCCAGCCGCAGATTTTCCTGCGGACCGGCCGGTTCTCGCACCGTGCACCCCGCTCCCGCCACCTAACGGCCGCCGCCGGTGGTGCCCCGCTGCACCGGGCACCGGCACCGGGACCAGGACCATTCCTTCCCCCACAACCCGGGTGGAGCGGCTCCCCCTTGGCACCTGCCTGCACTCCGGACACCCCCGTTCCTTCTCACCCCCTTCCGCTCGGTGCCACCCGGGATGCGACCCCCCCCGGTGTGGGACAGACGTCCGGAGCACTGCCTCCCCGGCACCACCGGGGACGGGGTGTCCCATCGGGGTGGGCGCAGCGCCCCATTCCCACTCCCCGGCCCCGCCCCCCCGCAGGCTGCCTTGGCAGCTCCCCCCATTCCAGCTTTTTTGGCAGAGGCGAGCTCAGATTGGAGAAAGAGGAATTAAACCAGGAAAAAAAAAAAAAAAAAGGAAAAAGGGAAAAAAAAACCTCAGCCAGCCCAATCGGCTGGAGAGGCTGGTGTGTGTTTGCCCTTTCCTCATGACGTAGTGTCCTGTGCCTCTCTCCCCCCTTCTCCCTCTCCTTTTCCCCTCCCTCCTTACACACATTCCCCCCTCCTCTTCCCCTCGCATCCTTGGAAGCAACAATTAAGCAGCTCTGGGATAAAACACACAGCCTGCGGGAGCACGACGGCATTGCTTCAAGAGATGGCAAGGCAGGCAGCTGCACCCCTCCTTCCAGGAGTCCTCCTCCTCTTCTCCATCCTCCCGGCTTCTCAGCAAGGAGGTAAGGAAAGAAAAGACTCCTTCCTCTTTCCCCAGCTCCCGCTTTACACTCCCTCTGCACGGACCCTCATCGGCTGCTGCCTCCTACAGCCCCCCCCAGGTAGCCCCCGCCTGCCCTGGGTGCGTGTCCCCAAGCAGGGACAAGTGCCCCCTGCCCAGCCCTGGGCACCTCCCTGGAGGACTTTCTGTCCCCCAGCCCACCCGGGTGGGGCAGAATGTCCCCAGGGATGGTGGCAGGGCAGCCCAGGAATGGCATCACTGTGCAAAGCACTTGTTGGGAGAAGGCTGCGAGGTGCTATGTCCTAGTGAGAGCCCCTGGGGACACGAGAGGCTAGGGGATACAAGAAACTGAGAGCCATGAGGCTCAGGGACCCGCAGGCAGTGCGCAGAGCAGGGCAGCCAAGGGTGTCCTCTAAGCGCCCATGGGGCTTACAAGTGTGAGGGGCCCAGGGGAGCTGGCACCAGTCACCCACCCGGAGTGATGTCGTTGTGAGCTGGAGGGGCAGGGGGGGTCAGCGTGTTGCATCCTACAGCTGATGTGGGCGAGCTGCTGTGCAGTGTGTGGCTGCTGCACAGCTGGCTGGACTGGTGCAGCTGCAGAGGGCTCAGCCTGCCTGAACCTGGGCTCTGAGTGCCTGGGGTGTCCCCTTGCACTGTATCACCGGCGCTGGCTCCATCCACCCGTGCATTGCACAGGTCATGGCTCACTGGCTGGTGCCTTGGTTGAAGAGGGGCTGTGCAACACCCCAGCACATGCGCATGCACGTGCAGCAAACACGCTGCTGGTGCAGAGAGGCAAAGCCCGCGTGGACTGCACATCCCACCACGCCGTGGGATGCAGCTTGAGCTGCCAGCGCAGCAGGTGCTGGGTGGCTGGCTGGACACTTGTGTCTCATGGTCAGGCCATGACATGCACAGCGAGTAGCTCTGAACACTGAGTTTCAGCCTGCTGTGATGGCCAGACTGGGCAAAGGGCTGCGAGGTGGGGACAGCCTGGTTAGGTATGGGACAGCCCCCTCTGGAGACCTCTCCTGTGTCACACTGTGGAGACTGTGTGGTGGGCAGAGCCACCATCAGTGATGGTGTCAGTGCCAAAGTTGTTGCATGAGGCTTCTCGACCAAAGAGGACTGAGGACCAGAGGAGAGGAGAGGGCAGGGGTTAGGCAGTGCCAGGGCCGTGTATGGCACTTGGCAGCTGCAGCCTGGGCCACCCCTCGCCACAGGCAGAGCACTTAGGGGTCTGCCCGCAGCAGCTCCATCTGCCAGAGCCCTGCAGCTCCCTGCTCTGCCCTGTTTTGATGGTGGACTCCAGCCAGGGGCTGGTCTGCCTCTGTCTGTGCAGGGAGCATGACCCAGAGGGGTGCCCAGCCATACAGCACCTGTAAAGCCGAGCCACGGTCAGTGACTGATCCTGGGTAACTGCTGCTCAGGGTCAAGGTGCTTGATGGGATGCAGCTCAGTAGTGGGCAGTCTCCAACACCAGCAGTGATGCTCCATGCTGCTTGCTGCTACAGTGGCTTTGTGCCCCAGGTCTCAAGCAGTGGCCAGCTGGGACTGTCTTTGGAGGACATTGGTCCCCTGGTGAGATCCTGCAGCAGTTTCTGAGCAGTTTGTGACTGTTGACTGTGACTCAACCTCCAGAGGTGTCTGCTGATTTGGGAAGTAGCTCATAGAGGAGATAGCCATGGCCCAGTGCTGATGGGGACACCGGAGGACGCTTCTCCATAGAGGAATGAGCAGTGTCTCTGCAGCTTGGTGTGCTGTGTGGCACCAGGCAGGTTCAGCCATACCCTTTGCCCTGCCAGCCCTTGTGAACTGTGCTGGGACAGAGGCACAGACAGTGGCATGGGGGGGGGCTACCAGCCAGCATCCTCCTCCAGCACCCACTGCCAGTGTGGCTCCAAACCAGCCTGGCAGGAGAGGGACACTTGAGAGATCTCAGGGTCAAGGGGGAAATTGCACACAAATTGCACACAAAGCAGTGCTGAGGAGCTGAGTCCCAGGCTTGCAGCAGATGGTGGTACTTGGGAAACTCCCAGTGGCAGGTCAGAATCATCCCCTGCTGCTCTGCACCCTGACAGCAGAGTTGTACTGGGCACTGTGGGAAGGTGTATGGCTGGATCCCACGGGGAACCTGCTGTGTGTTTCCCTAAAGTTGCCAAGTGCAGCGTGTCCCAGCATTTGGAGCAGGGTATCTGTCCCACAGTGCTTCCATCCATCCATCCATCCACCCATCCATCCATCCATCCATCCATCCATCCATCCATCCATCCATCCATCCATCCATCCATCCATCCATCCCTTATTGCTTCCCATGGTGGAGTACAGGGCAGAAGGAACCAAGAGGACTCTCAGCCCTGCAGTTCTCTGGGACCGCAGGGTGAAGTTTGGGAGGTGCAGGGTACTGGCATCCCAGCATGGGGACACCCAAAGTCCCCGGGGTGCCCCAGGGCCAGCTGTGGGACTCAGGTGGTATTTCCCCCTCCCAGCCAGGCACCTCCCCAGGGCACCATCCTGCTGGGGCTACTCCCTCTGCAAACAACTTGCAGGGTGCAGCTTGTCTGCCAGCACTCTGAGATGAAAGCTAGAGTCTCAGGGGGCTGCAGAGGAGCTAGGCTGTTGGCAGCAGCCTCCCTGCTCTTCCCGAGCTGCTGCCAGCGAGCTGTGCCAGGGCGTAGCGCAGCTTCAACATTGGTTGGACACTGCATATTTCCAAAACCCATTTTCCCAAGAAAAAGCAAGCAGTGGCGTGAGGGAAGAGGGGAAATGCTATAGAAATTCTATGAAATATCAGCGGAGGTTATGTGCTGAGCCTGCCCCAGGAGCCCACAGGCACGTGAAGGGTGGCGATGTACAAGGTTTGGCTGCACAGTGAGGGTGTGAGCTCGCATCCTGTGGTGGATGCTCCAGCCTGGTCTTGGTCATGAAAGCTGTAGAATAGAGAAAACATCTGTACTTCTGGCTTGTAAAGAAAGCTGCAATCAGTGGTACAGGTAGAAATGGTACAGATGACACTGGCTTGAGAACATATCTGTGGGGTGGGTGCTGGGGGCCAGCCCAGTGCTCTGCAGGCTTACAACCAGCCTCGGCTCAGAGACAAGCTGCAAGATAGGAGAAACCCCCCTTCCTGGAGTGTCAGCAGGCTGGGACCAGGGGCAGAGGCAGCACAGAGCTCCTCCTGTACTGAGGGGCTGGTGACTCAGTTTGCTCTTCCCAATGTGCCAGAGGAATGCAAGATGGAGAGGTCAAAGAGGGGCATGCTATGCTGGGGTTATGGGCACTGTCTTCCCACTGGGATGAGCACAGCTCTGCCAGCACCAACACAGTCCAGGAAAGAGCTTCAAGAGAAGTGCAGAGCGGGCTGCCTTTGGCAACATGGTCAGAGAGAGCAGCCAGGGGGAGCAGCCTCCTGCAATGCTCCTGAGTGGAAGCCTTGGCTCCCCAAAGTCTCATGGCATCCCCATTTCTGCTATTCTGCTGCCCCCAGCCGTCCAGGCTCCTGCCAGGACTTGGTGACATCCTCCACCTACTGATGTGGGCATGGAGAGGATTGATAAACTGACACATCCCCTGTAATCCTCCAGAAGGTGCAGACCTTCTGTGAGCCACTGGGATGAGCACAGTGCCTTGGCCATGGTATGGTGTCTGGGGGAAGCAGGACCTCCCTTTCAGGGTCCACAGGAGGGTAACAATGCTGAAGGGTGGAGAATAGCAGCATGGCTGTGGGCAGAGGTCTCCAAGCACCCCAGGAAGGCTGTGAGCCATCCAGCCTTGTCCCAGTTTCCCCAGGGGTAGGAGAGCTCAGCCCAGGTTGCCGGGTGCTTAGCATCACCCAGCACGAGGGACCTTGCCTTGGCCATGGGGTCTGAGGCATCACCCTGGGGCTGAGCACTGCAGGGATCCCCCTGCTTGGTGGGGGATGGTCACTAGCCCCAGGCATGGGGGGACCCAGATGAATCTTGGCTGGATCCAGCAGGGCAGGGGGGGGGGAGGGCAGGAGATGTGTGGATGCTTGGAGTCTGTTTAGAAACAGGCAAGAAGCTGAGATTTATTTTTCCAAGCTGGGGTGGGGGGGTGGGGGGGGTGGGGGTGTTGCGGTGGGAGGGGTGGCGTGGGTAGGGTTGTGGATAGGGGAGTGTGCAGGGAAAAGAGCCACCCCATAAACCCCTGGCTGGCAGCTGGGCTGGGCTGTGCCATGCCATGCCATGACAGAGGCGTGAGCGGCCGGAGCGATGGCCCAGTGCATGTCCCCAACATTGCAAGAGACACCAGCTGCTCCAGGGCCAGATTTGTCCCCCAGCCCCAGCAGGGCCCTGGGGTTGGCTTTAGGGGCACAGTACTGTGTGACAGGACTTGGCACACGTCCTCTGTTTGTGTCCCAATGGGTTGGTAGGTGCATGTCTGCCGGTGCGTGTGTCCTGACATCTGTGTGTGCACAGTCTGGCACCCCTCTTGCGCACGTGTGTGTCCTGACACACATGTGGTTGCATCCCAGTGCCTGCTCTCTCTCTCTGTGGCTGGGCTGAGATGTCTGTCCTACTTGCCCTGGCGACATATGAGCAGGGTTCAGGGAACACCCTCATTCCTGCTGTGTCACAGCAGGCAGCTGTTGGGGTGAAGCAGGGGGCTATGGGCACAATGAGGGGGGACCCCCAGAGTTTGCACCTCATCTGAAATGGAGATGTGCAGCACAGTGTACCTCTCACCATGGCTGCCAGCTCTGTCCGACACCTGTCTGTGCTGTCGCTGGGTACTGTGCAGCTTGTGGTGCATGCACCCAGCTCCTGGGGGTGCTTGGGAGGCCAATGCAGCCTTGGAGCAGGACAGCAGGTCCTCAGGTCCCAGCCATGCCACTGAAGGGTCCATAGTGCCATCCAGCCTGAGCTCCATCCCCTCTGCCCAGAGCTGAGTGCAGCTTTGCCACAGGGATGCTGGCCATGGCAGCCCTGCTCTTGCCTCCAGCAACCCCCAGATCCTCCTGCCAGCCTCGCTGCAAATCCCACTGCAAACCCCATGGCAGCTGCCCTAGTGCCAAAAACATGCTCCAGCCAAAAGCGGAGCATCCCCCAGCACTGCAACCTCCCTGTGCCACCAACTCACCTGCAGGCCCCAGCCATGGCCCTGATGGAGCAGGGTGACCACCCATGGGCCGGCTGCCTGGTGGTATGCAGGACACAGCCCTTTGACAGAGTCCAAACCAGATGGACAGCGCTGTGGGGTTGTCTGAGCATGGGCTCCACATGCCCTGGAAAGCGATGATATCTGGGTGGTTAGACTCTCAGCTCAGCTTCGCAGAGGTGGGCACAGGGGTGCAGGTGGTTTCAGTGGATCATGCCACTGTCCCCCCCAAGTCCAACATCTCAGTACTGTGCCTGAGCTGGCTCTTTCACTGGCAGCGAGGCAGAGCAAGGCAGGGCAGGCAGCATGGGCAGGCGGCAGCCACAGCCAGGCTTGGCTGGGATCAGCATTGCCTGCAGGGCCGGACAGGTACCCCAGAGCCATGTGGAGCCGGAGATGATGGAGACAGCACTGGTTGTGGTACAGGACAGCAGAGCTGGACACCAACCAGAACTGCTTCACAGCAGCCCCATCTCCTTCCTTCCCATGGAGGACCTGCTGCAACCTCCACCAAGATGCTCCCTCAGCTCCTGGCTGGGGTACCTCCAAGCCCTGTCACCACTGTCACAGTGGGGAAACTGAGGTGTACAAGGACAGGCAGGGGCCTGCCCCAGGGCTCTGCTTCCCACCTCATCTGCAGGGAGCATCTTCCCATCCAAGGAGGTGTTCCCTCCCACCCCACCAGACAGACTTGGATCCCTGGGGGGATTTTAATGAGGGTCTCTTCTCTTGCAGGGGTCCCTGGTGCTATCCCAGGAGGGGGAGTTCCCGGAGGAGGCTTTTTCCCAGGTAAGGGGGTCCAGGCTTGGGTATCACCATGGGGTGCAGGTGCCTGGGGAGGTGCCTGGGGAGCCCCTCGTGCCTGTGAGCCAGCACAGAGGGCTGGGGAGCTGCCAACTGGGAGCAGGGGACATGGGGACAGCCTATATGGCTGCTCAGCCCTGGGTGGCTTCCTGGCAGTGTCCACTCTCCAGGACTGGCACTTAGGGCCTGCCCAGCCCTGGCCACAGGACTTGCTCATAGGTCACAGCCTGTCCCCGTTGTTTCCTCCAAAAGCCTGGGGACATCCCAGGGGGGATGCCCCATCCCCTGGCACCCTTGTGACCCTCTCTGTTTCCCCATGGACACGCTGGGTAGCCTGGCATGGGTGGGTGGGTGAGTGGGGGATGCTCACTGGGATGGGTGCTAAGACTGTTGCTGCTTGCAGGTGCTGGGATTGGAGGTTTGGGAGCAGGTGAGTGCTGGCACCAATTTGTCCATGGGGGTGCTGGGATGGGGACCCCTAGCAAAGCTGCTTGTGAGGGGAAGGGCATCCCCATCCTGCACCATATCCCCCCTTTGGGGGATGCTTGGAGGAAGGATGGCTCTGATCCCTCTCCACTCACTCTCCCCCAGGACTCGGAGCTGCAGGAAAACCTCTCAAACCAGGTAAGAAGCCTTTCCCTGGTGCTCTTGCCATTGCCAGCCATGCCAGGGGACAAGATATTTCCTGACCCCCGTTGCCCTTTTGTTTATTTCACATAGCCAAGGGATCCCCTGACCCTGGGCACGTCCATGGCCAAGGCACAGAGTGCTTTCTGCCCTGCCCTGGTACACTGACCCCCGCCAAGTCCCAATAGCGGCAAGGGAGCCTTCCTCCTTGTACCCTGCTTTGGCACACTACCCTGTCCCCTCCAGCCTCCCCAGACCACCTTTTCAGGGTGCTTGCTGCTTGCAAACCTGTGCCAAAGCTCCTCGGGAAGATGCCAGCTAACACTTGCCCTGCCCTGCCAGACACAGTGCCAGTGGGAAGCTGGCAGCTCTGCTGTTTGTGGCCAAGTAGCTTTTGCTGAGCCTCCTGCAGCCCATGCTGGGGTTTCACTGAGCTAGAAATAATGCAGTGAGAGGGTGCTTCACTGGGAGGGTGAGGAGAGGAGGCAGGAGGATGCACAGCCTGAGGGCACAGAGCCTGAGGCATGATGAGGAAGTGCTGGGGCAACAGGTACTGAACGTGCAGGGGCAAAAGTGGTGCCAATGGAAATACCCGGTGCTCATCGAGGCACAGGAAGAGATCACAGTATCATAGAATCCCAGACTGGTTTGCGCTGGAAGGAATCTTAAAGCTCATCCAGTTCCAACCCCTGCCACAGACAGGGACACCTTCCACTGGAGCAGCTTGCTCCAAGCCCCTGTGTCCAACCTGGTCTTGAACACTGCCAGGGATGGGGCAGCCACAGCTTCTCTGGCCACCCTGTGCCAATGCCTCACCCACCAAAGTTCTGCCTGCCCAGGCAGGGGTGCACAGGGGCACACCAAGCCTCCGGCTCCTGCGCTGGCCCGTCTGCGCGGTGGGAGCGCCAGCCCAAGGCGGGGGCCACAACCTCCGTTTGCTCAGATTTCAGCTCGTGGAAAGGAAAACAAGGCCCTTTATTTCTGCATAATTAAAACCAAATGTGGGGCGGCTGCGAAAACCCAGCCCCAGCCGTGCAGTGTCCGCGCCCCGAGCCAAAGGCACTGGAATTTATGCCTAGAGGGAACGAGGTCTTGATTAGCCCCAGATGTTGGAAGGCAGCGCTGGCCGCAGACCGGAGACGGAGGGACTCGTTCCTCAGCCATAAACATTACAGCTCCGTCCCCTCGTGGCCTGGTGGGGTGGGGGCAGGCAAAGCAGAAAGTGATGGGGTGGGGAGCCCAGACACTGGCAGCACATTTGTCACCTGTCCTTGTGCCTGTCCCTGGGGCACGCTCTCACCCTGTGGGGATGGGGCAATGGGATGTTTCTGCTTCTCTGGCCCTGGCAGTTCCCCGCAGCTCAACCCACTTTTCCCAGGGGTCGGAGGCCTTGGGGGACTTGGCCCACTCGGCCTACAACCAGGTGAGCACTGACCACTGGCCACCCTTTTCCAGACTGTCCCTGGGTGATGTCCCCAGAGACCCACCCTGGAGACAGCAAGGGGCTTTGTCCCAGTACAGTGCACTCCCTTGGCTCTCTGGTGGGTCTCATCTGGGCTGGGTGCTCTGCACAGACCTGAGGGACTGGCAGCCACCAACAGGCATCCCTGTGGTCCCACAGCATCATGGCATTGATCCACAGCAGGGTGACCCCAAGGAGTGATAGCTGAGGAAAGACCTGCAGCAGGGGAACCTGGTGTGTGCAGCAGCCAGTGACACTGCCATGGGCCCTGGGTGGCTGGCAGAGCTGGTGATACGTGGGATGCAGATGGGAGCATGTGTCTGGGGGGGATGCAGGGAGAAGCTGGTGCAGTACAGGGCAGTGCCTGCTAACCACCACCTTGCCCAGCCTCATTCCAGCCCCTGGCATCACGCTGCAGCCCTGCATGGCTCATCACCTCCTGTGCCCACAGTGGCCAGCATGGAGGGCAGGACCAGGACACGTTTTGGGGATACTCATGCTGGTTATTCTCCCTGCAGGTGCTGCAGGTGTCTTCCCCGGAGGTGCCTTCCCTGGGGCAGCCTTCCCTGGTGCTGCCTCTGCAGCTGCACTCAAGGCAGCTGCGAAAGCTGGTGAGTGCTGGGGGTACCCAACAATGCCAGGCAAGGCGACGCTGGGGCTCCTGGTATCCCCTGAGGCCCTGGGTTGGAAAAGCTTTCCCCGTGGAGCTAGGGGGATGCAAGTGGGAGGTGCTGGTCTTGTGGGGATCGCTGACAGTTCAGAGGCACTCTGTACATGTTGGTGTGCTGGCAAAGGGGTATTGGCCAAACCCAAGCCCCAAGGAGAAAAGACCATCAAGCCACTGGGTCCTTGTGCCCAGCTCTAGGGGACTCATCCGTGGTACTGCCTTAGAGTGTCCCTTGTCTCCTAAGAGCTGCCTTTTGCTTGTCCTTTCCTTTGGCACCACTCCGGCCACCCCTAGCTCAGCAGTGGCATCTCACACTGGTTCATTCCTTTTCCCAATGCCCCCAGGTGCTGGCATTGGTGGCGTGCCTGGAGTTGGTGGTCCTGGTGGCCTCGGGGTCTCTACAGGTAAGGAAATAACCCTCATCCCAAGCATAGCTGAGCCTGGGGCAGACCTGTCCCCATGCCTGCCATGGTGTGCAGGAGCTGATGAGGGGCTCAAGGGATGTCTGCTGCCTGCAGGTGCAGTGGTACCTGGTGTGGTGCAGCCTGGGGTTGGCGCAGCAGTGAAACCCCCAAAAGTACCAGGTAGGTCCATGGCCCCAGAGCTGGGGGCTGGGGAGTGGGGGGGAATGGCTCCTGCCAGCTGCTCATTGTTGCCTTTCTCTTGCCTGGCAGGCGCTGGGATTCCTGGAGCTTTCCCAGGTGGTGTGCTCCCTGGTGCAGGTGAGCTGGGGATCCCCAACCTACCAGCAGCACCCCAACTCCTGAGGGGGTCCCCACCCAGTGCCAGCATTCCAGTTTGAGTCGACAGCCTTGTGGCCAGATGGCCATCGCAGCACATCCCTTGCCTGCCCAGCAGCAGGCTTCCTGCAGCCCCTTGCTGCCCGCATGCTGAGCTCCCTCCCTGCCCCATCACTGCTGCCTGTACTTTCCAAACCCTTTTGCTGGGGCCATAGTGACATTTCCACCGTGCCAAAGGCAGGGGAACCCAGCATCTCCAGTGGTCTCATGTCAAGCTCCATGGGAGCAGGTGGCATCAGCACCGGGAGAGGAGCGGGCACAGCCCATGCCAGGACTGGCTTGCCCAGCAAAAGACTGTGTGGAAAGAAGGGGGAAGTAGGGGGAGGAGGGGGAGGAATTCCTCACTGCAAAGTAATTCGAGGGAGGAAAACTTGTGAAAACAAGATGTTTCAACATTGTCAGAAGAACTGTGTTGCTGGTCAGGAATGTCTTTTCCATGTCTGAAAATGCAAGAGTTATAATGAAAGACATTTGTGAAAGGGAAAAAAAAAACCCACACACCACCAACAAAAAAAAAAACAAACCCCAAAGCCCAATCCAAGTGACTGCAAGGCCAAAGCACTGCCTATTGCCCCTGGAGGCCTGGGGCTTCCTGTGCCCCAAAGAGCCCCAGCTTGCACAAAGGCACTGCAAATCACTGGGCAGTGAGCAATGCCCAGGCTTGGCTATACCACAGCATGGGCTAGTGCTTTGCTGTCATGAGTGGGACCTTCTCACAGGTGCCATGTATCCTGCAGGCACCTTGAGCTCCTGTCCAGGCTGCCTGGCCCTACAAAGGAAAGGCAACACCAGGGCTGGAGCAAACACTTCCTTGGCAGCTCTGCCCTGGGACTGGCACAGGGGGGGCAGCAAGCCCTTAGTGTATGGGGATGCCCTGTCTCAGGGTACAAGGGTTGGTGCTGAGCCATGGATGGGTAACAAGGGTTTGGGAGCTGGGTGCAGGGGTCTTGGTTACAAGCAATGCTCTCTGGTCTCTTCCACAGGCGTCCGCTTCCCTGGCGTCGGGGTGCTGCCCGGAGTACCCACTGGTGCTGGAGTCAAGCCAAAAGTTCCAGGTAAGTTCCCTAGATCGCCTGGGGACACTGGGGTGGAGGGTGGGTCCAGGGCTGGCTCCAGCTCTGCCTTCATCCCCATCCTGCCAGGGCTGGCTCCAGCCCATCATTTGGGTCACAGCCCCACAGGGCACATGGGCAAGTGAAGCCAACCTTTGGCTGAGCCTATGTAACCCACGCAGACTAGTTTGGACCACGAGGAACAGCCCAGATTCTCACATGGGTGCTTTTGTGTTTCTGCCTAGGAGCAGGAGCCTTTGCAGGAATCCCTGGTGAGTGTCCTGTCTGTCTCGCCTATCCTTCTCTTCCTTCCCAAGCCTGTTCATCACAGCCATGGCCTCCCCCCGCCAGAAGATGCCTCAGGGCTTCCTGAGCCACCCACTCTCTTCTACCAGGGTGCCCCGGGGCACTCCCCTCTTGCAGTGACTGGTGCGGGCTCCAGGTGAGAGTCTGCTGTTGGCTTTGCAGGACTAGGAGGTTTTGGAGGTCAACAGCCCGGTGTCCCCCTGGGGTATCCCATCAAAGCTCCTAAGCTCCCAGGTAAGCTGCCACAGCCAAAGGGGCTAGGGGTGATAGACCCCCAGCAGTGCCAGGAGGACCCGCCATTCCCCAGGACTGAGCCTGGTGCCACCAGGTCCCCTGGACCTGCTGCTGGTGGTGGCTCTGGGACAGCAGGATAGAGCAAGGGGCAGGTGAGTCCAGCAGCAGCTCCTGCCTATGAGCAGCTGCTTGGATCCTGCTGCTGGTCTTGCCACAGCCCATGAGGATGATGCTGTGCCTCTCTGTGGCTGTTATAAGGTAGGAAAGAGCATGTTCTGGGGACCTGCTTTGGGGTAGACCACCGCAGGCTGTCCTTGGCATGAGACACAGCCCTTGCAAGAGCTGTATAGCTTTCTGTGGCTTGCAGGATTGCACCAGGTATCACTGAGCATTCACCTGGGCTGAATATCCTGGCTTGAGGAGCTCTAGCCAAGGCCACCAGCAGCAGGCAGGTGATGGAGATGGAGCTCCAGGAAGGTCTCACCCCCCACTGCCCACCCAGATGAGGATCTGCTCCAGCCCAGGGAAACCTGTGGGTGCTCCGCCCCCATGTGGGGCTGCTCCAGGAACCTTCAACACCCAGCCCTGGGCTGGGTGCCAGCTCTGCCTGCCCCCAGCCAGCCATGCCCAGGCAAGGACAGTGGAGGACAGGCAGTCCTAGGCAGCCAGCACCAGCTGCTGTGCCCTCCAAGGGCCATGCTGCCAGCTTACTGGTCCCAACATCATTGCTGAAGAGGGGATGCTCTTGGGACCAATAAGCTGGCAGCATGGCCCTGGAGGGCACAACACCCAGTGCTGGCTGGGACCAATAAGCATAAGATCTGGGCAGCCAGATCTGGGCAGGCTCCTGCATCCCTGGGGTGTTCAGTAGATCCATGGGCATTTTCCCACTGGCCAAAACAAGTTGGTGCAGGCAGGAAAGCCTTGGTGGGGGGAGCCCATCTGTGGGGAGTGGGTCCCATCCTGGCTCGGGCGCTGGCCCTGGCAGCTCTGCCGACTTCCCCCTGCTGGGGCCCATCACCGCAAATGGCAGCAGAAATACTTGGCCTGCTCTAGCTTCCTCCTGTGGAGGCAGAGTTACGCTCCTTGGGGCGACTTGGCCTTGCTGCCATTGGATACCGCCTGGCTCTGGATGCAGCCCATCCCCAGACCGCCTTTCATGGGGTGCCTGGTGTGGAGAGCAAACAGCCGGTGCATGGAGCAGCCGTGCCTGGCTCCATCCTGCTGCAGCCCTGCCAGGGGCCTGCAGCCCAGCCTGATACAGCTGCAGGCTGACCCACTTCATGGGGAGCCTTTGTGAAATAAACCAGGGGAGGTCAACTCATTCCCCTGGCCAGGGAGCGCCATCAGTGCATCACATCTTTCACGGGGACCAACAGGACAGAGGTGGTGTCCCCAGCTGTGGTTTCAGCTGCTGGGTGCTACCTGGTGCCCCAGTCCTTCCCAGGACACTGGGAAATGCCAGTTTGTCACCTCTGAGGGCTCAGGACTGGCAGCATCGGGACACTGGGCTGGCTGGCACCCTTCAATGGTGCAGACAGATGCAGGGGCTGCCACACATCCCCATGTCCCCTGTGCTGTGTCACAGCTGAGTAGAGATGAGATGAGGGGACAGTGGGGAAAACAACATTTTCAGCGGATAGTCTCCTTTTTGGAGAGCTCCTGCTCTGTGCTGTCCCCACTTAACAGGCAGCCCCAGGGCCAGCCTGCTCACTGGGGGCTCAGCCTGAAGCTGCGGCTGAAATCAGGGTCCCAGCTCATGCCATAGGGATGGGGACTGCTCCCCACTACCCAGCCATGCTGGGATGGCACTGATTAGTGCAAAACCCTTTTCACGCCAGTGAGTGTGCCCATTCACCCTGAGCCCCCCCCCCAGTGGTGCTGGTAGCATCCTCATGCTGGTGCAGGAAGGGTGCAGACAACCCTGGGGTGGGGGCTGCTCTCACATTTGGCTGGGGGTGGTGGGGAGCTGAACTTGGACCCGGCAAAACCCTTGGAGACTTATGACCCTTGGAGTCACCTCCACATGTGTCACCCAGTGCTGGACCTTTCCGCAGCTTTGGGGTGAGTGAGGTACTTAAGAGGATGGCGCAAGGGAGGTTGCCAAGGTGGGGGACACCCAGCACAACTCACAGCTACTACAGCCTGCAATGCATCTGCCACTGTGCTGGCATGGGACATGATGGGACAGCCTGGCAGAGTGGAGGGAAATCTGGAACCACATGCTTGCTGGCTGTATGGGACAGTGTCCCACACTCAAAGAGACACTTTGCCATGAGCAATACTGTCCTGGCTGCAGACAGCTGCATCCCTCCTATCCCACAAACCCCTCAGCAGGAAGACTGCGTGTGAGACACCCTCCACCCTAAGTGCTGCTCGAGGTGCCCCCACTGGGGTTGTGGCAGCCCATCACTCCTCCTCAGGCCACTGCCAGCTGTAATGGGAGCTTGGTGCTGCCCACCCCAAGCACATATTCCCCACTGAGTCACGGGCATCCCTGTGCCATCCTGAGCAGTGGGATCATGCTCTTTCAAAAGGAGACATTTCCCTGGCTCAACATTGCTGCTCATAATCCCTCCCTGTCCCTTCACACCGACCTCCTAAAGAGGTCACATTTCAGCAGAGGCTCCCAAACTGTCATTCCAATAAAACCCCTTCATTTGGAGCTGGCCATGGTGCAGGCAGCTGGGTACAGCTCTTGCCGCAGGGCTCCCAGGGGACCTCCTGCCAAAGTGGGATCATAGAAGGCTCCTGCAAAACTGGCTGAGTGCCACAGCCTTAGCCCCTGACAGTGAGTGGCTGTTTTTAGAGATGCTGCTTCCAAGGTGATGGAGAAAAGCATCTCCTGGCCTGGCTTCATCATGGGAGTCGTATCTTGGAGGATTTACTATCCTGATGGAAGGTGCCCCAAGGGCTGGTGCTGCAAAGAGGGGCTTCACTGCGGGGCAGAGGGGTTGCAGCCACTGGCAGACAAGTACTAACCTATCACCTTCTCTCTCCAGGTGGCTATGGATTGCCCTACAGTACTGGTAAGCTGCCCTATGGTGAGTGCTTGTAGCCCTCACTCTGCAGTCATAGTTCTTCAAAGCCCCACTGGCTGCCACCATGGCTTTGTGGTCACCAACCCTCTGGGTGGTATGAGGAGAATCCTGCTCCCAGGGTGAGGTGGTCCCTCCAGGGACCTGTGCCTTGCCCTGCTGTGCTACCTGTGGGCCTAGCTGGGAGCAGCCCAGCTCTCCTGGCATTCCACGGCATGGGGGACACTGGCAGCGGTCAGCTGGCTCTGCCAGGATATGTCTTGAGCTGCAGCCAGCTCCAGGCAGGGATGTTAGAACTGACATATCAGCTGCAGCAAAGTAGGTTCCAGCACACCACCCACATCCCTGGGCACCGAAGGCAGGGAGAGCCTTTGGGCTGAGGGAGCTGTTTCATTGCCCCCTTCCTAGGGCCAGTGCCTGACTCATCTTTGCCTTTCTGTTTGTGATTGCAGGCTTCGGGCCAGGCGGGATAGGAGCTGGCATTGGAGCAGGAGGAAAGGCAGGGTACCCCACCGGGACAGGTATGCTCCCTTTCCAGGCAGCCCTGGGGTGGGGGCCTGGCATGGCCATGGTGGGGGAACTGGGAACTCCAGTCACTTTGCTGGTCCTTAGACAGGGCATTGGGCTCTGCCAGTGACAGTGTCACCCCAGGCACAACCTGGAGGGATCCAATGCTTCCCAAAGGAGAGCGGGGTGGGTGATAACAGGAGGGGCTAGTCCCCAAAGTCCCTGTGGGGTGGGGGAGCTGAGGTGGGAATGGTCTTGGGACCTTAGTGGCTGCCCATGTCCTTCCCCAGGAGTTGGCACACAGGCAGCAGCAGCGAAAGCAGCAGCAAAATACGGTGAGTCACCCTCCGAGGACACATCCATCACTCATCTCCCCAGTGGGGCTCCCTCCCTCCCAGGCCTGGGGGATGCTGGTGGTGTCCCTGCATCATCAAGCTGATAGTGCCCTTCTCTGCGGCAGGAGCTGGTGTCCTGCCAGGGGCTGGTGTTCTGCCAGGAGTTGGCGGAGTGGTACCGGGTGCTGGTATTGTTCCAGGGGTTGGAGGTGAGGCAATGCAGGTTCTGGGGTTCCCTGGGTCACCTCCACCCATCCCACACCCCTGACTCTCTCCCACTACCCTGGCAGTTGGAGGTCCTGCAGCGGCGGCGGCAGCAGCGAAGGCAGCAGCAAAGGCAGGAGCTTTTGGTGAGTTCCCCACTGCCAGGGACAGATCCTGCTGCTGACTGTGCGGCCATGCACTGGGGCCAGGGCTGCTTGGAATCACAACCGGCCACATCACCCCCTGTACCATCTCCTGGGACGCTCTCCCAGGCACAGACCCCTGCCATGGCTCCAGGGCTGCTTGTTAGAGCTTAGGCAAGGTGAAGCCACTGTGCTGAGCCAGAAGCTTTTGCTGGTGGAAGTCAAAAGCTGGTGAAACCTCCCACAAGGCTGCAGAAGGGCTTGACCCCTTTGGGGGCAGGCTCCAGAAGCCTGTTGGGAGAGCACGGCTTGGGCGTCGAAAAGCCTGGATTACAAAACACAGATTTTCCTGCTGCCTGAAACGGTGGTGTGTCCCCATCAGCCATGGTTTCTCCACAAGAGATGTGGTTTTGCTCTGACATGGCGTAGGGACAGGCGGAGTCTGTAATGAGCCTTTAATTGTGAGCAGAGGGACATACCTGGTGATGTAGAGCTCATGTTCACTGCCTTGTTGGCTGCTTTGTGGGGGGAAACTGAGTAGCAAACAAGTGCTCATTCCAATGTATCCAGAAGAAACATGTCAGCCCTGAGAGCAGCTGGAATTTATGACCATGGCCATGGGGGACCCCAGAGGTCTCCAAGCTCCTGGGTGGTCTTGTGGGCTCCAGACCCCTCAGTTGGGGGTAGGAAGCTGGGAATCCCAATCCTGGGAACATCCCAGATCCCCTGAGCAGCTGAGGTGCTCAAAGCCAGGTGCCACGGAACCTCCTGTGACACTGGGAGAAACCACGTCCACACCAGTGGCAGTGGGTGTTTTGGGGGGTGTCTGACAGCTCTGCTTCCCTCCAGGTCCAGGGGTTGGTGGTGTCCCTGGCCTTGTGCCTGGCGTTGGTGGTGTCCCCGGCTTGGTGCCTGGTGTCGGAGGTGTCCCTGGGGTGGCAGGTGACTGTCCCCAAGAGCCCTGTACCCATCACCCGGCTCTGCGGGTTGTGGGGGCTGGTGGCTGAGGGTCCTTCTCTCCCTTATTCCAGGAGTCGGGGGGCCAGCAGCAGCAGCAGCAGCAGCAAAGGCAGCTAAGTACGGTACGTGCTGCATGGTGCAGGGGGCTCCCAGCAGCTCCCTGGGGACCCTGCTGACCCTCTCCACCCTGGTTCTCTGGGTCACTCTGATGCCTGCAGGCTCAGCCTCGCTGCCTGGGTGGGCAGACATCCCAGGGTCACCACCTTCCAAAAACCTGGTGAGATCTAGCAAATGGATCCAACCTGGCTAGCAAAACCCAGGTACTCAGCAGTCATAACCTCTCCCAAGGGAGCTCCAGCGAGCAGGATCCCGGAGGGGATGAGGGGTGTGGCAAAATAACAGGGAAGCTGTGAGCCCAGGCACAGAGAGGAAGCAAAGCAGCCCCAAAGCTCCACATAGGGGTGTCGGATCCCTATGCTGCTCCAGAAGGCAGTGCCAGAGGTCACATGGGTGGGTCCCAGGACCTTCTCCTGCATTATCACTGCCAAGCCCTGTGAGTCCCCTTGGAGCAGCCATGCTCAATGGCAGCTTTCACAGAATCATAGGATAGTATGTATTGGAAGGAGCCTTAAAAATCATCTAGTTCCATTGCTGGCCATTGCTTCCATTTCTCTTCTGCATCATGTAGAAAAAAATCCTGCCAGGTGCCCAGGGAAAGATGGGATTTAGGAAGATACTTGGCATTGACAAGTTAATGGGAATGTGTTCTGCACTGCGTGCCAGGCATGGGCCAAGCAGGAGACCACGACATCAGCCCCTCTATCAGCCCTTCCAGAAGTGACGCATTGCCTGTCCCTGTGGCAGTAACGAGTGCCAGTGACTCAGGACTGTCACTGCCCTGGGAAACTTCCCAGCCTGGCCAGTGTGCAGAGTACCCAGCCCTTCCCAGCAGCTACTGGGGACTACCAGCCACATCTCCTATGTTGCTTGTTTGGCTGCAAGGCTTGATGTCCACATGATGAGGACCATCTGGAGCCCCCCATGATGATGGATCATCACAGTCCCCTGTGCTGGTGACTTCCCAGCCACTCTTTTACAACTGCAGATTTACCATCCTCACTGGGGCCTCTTGGGACAAATGGGACCAGTCCCGCCCTTACAGCACTGTGGAAGAGGTGGTGGGGTGCTCTTCCAACCACAGCATGACAATGAGAGCAGACCTATGACAAGGTCCCACCTTTCAACTGTTGCTGAAATGAGATCTAGCTCCCCCTCTCTCATTGCCTGCAGGAGCTGGGGTCGGCGTTCCCGGCATTGGTGGTGTTCCTGGCGCTCCTGGTGTCCCTGGCGTTCCTGGTGTCCCTGGCGTTCCTGGTGTCCCTGGTGTCCCTGGCGTCCCTGGCGTCCCTGGTGTGCCCGGTGTGCCCGGTGTGCCCGGTGTGGCTGGGGTTCCTGGTGTGGTGCCTGGTGTTGGAGGTGAGCAGATGGGCTGGCACTAGCTGATGGGTGGTGCTAGCCTCACTGGTCCCATGACTCTCTTCCTTCTCTCAATGCAGTGGGTGGCCCAGAAGCTGCTGCGGCCGCAGCAAAGGCTGCAGCGAAAGCCGCAGCATTTGGTGAGTGACCATCATCCTTCTCCAGGGAAAGAGGAGGAACAAGGGGTGCTCACAATGAGCAGAATGGGGGGCACCTCCAGCACTGCGGGTGGCAGAAGGCCAGTGCATACAGAGCCTGCTCAGCCACATCCTGAACCTCTCTCTGCAGGAGCAGGGCGTGTGCCTGGTGTTGGTGTCCCCGGTGTTGGTGTGCCCGGTGTCGGCGTGCCCGGTGTCGGCGTGCCTGGAGTTGGCGTCCCTGGAGTTGGTGTGCCCGGTCTGGTGCCTGGGGTGGGAGGCATACCAGGTGAGGTGGTGTCTAAGGGATGCTTGGCATGTCTCCAGAGGCTGAGGGGTGCTGGTGTGACCACCACGGCCCATCACTGCTTCTCACGCTTCCCCTCTCCCCCAGGAGTTGGAGCCCCAGCAGCTGCCGCTGCTGCCAAAGCAGCCGCCAAAGCAGCCAAGTATGGTAAGATGGGATCTCTCCAGGGTTATCCCACATATACTGTCTCCTGGCACTTCCTCACCCCAGGTTACTGCCTTTGTTGGAGTTGAGGCCCAGCACTGAACAGGGTCCCTGTGGGTCGGGATGAGGGATGAGCTCTCCTCAGGGATGAGGAGATGAGGACGTGGGATGAAGTCATGGCTGTGTCAGTGGGTGCTCTCCAGAAAGCTGGTCTGCATGAAGGTTCCTAGGTTCACCATCCTTACACCTCATACATTAGTCCATCCACCCTCCCTTCTACTCACCCATCCACACCACCAGCCAGCCAACCACCTCAGTATCCTTCTGTCCACTCATCTGTCCATCCATGTGCTCAGCCCAGCCTGCCATGGCTTTTCAGCCAGTTCCTTCCACCACCTCTCTTCCTGAGCTCCTCTTCCACCACCCCTCTTCCTTCCCTCTCTCCTTGCAGGAGCAGGTGGTCTGGCTCCTGGTGTGGGTGGACTTGCGCCTGGTGTAGGTGGACTGGCTCCTGGTGTAGGTGGCCTTGCTCCTGGAGTTGGTGGCCTGGTCCCTGGTGTTGGAGGTATCCCAGGTGAGGAGGAGGATGGCAGGTGATGGTGGCAGCCTGTCTGGGGAGGAGAGGCACAAGGAGGACCTCAGTGGTCTCTGTCAGCTCATGGCCACTCCTTGGAGGGATAGGCTCTGCCCAGCATTGCTGGAGAGGACGCCCCCAGGGACACTAATGCCCTCTTGATGTCTTTGCTCAGGGGTCGGAGTTCCAGCTGCAGCAGCCAAAGCAGCAGCAAAGGCAGCCAAATTCGGTGAGTCGGCCAGAGGAGCCCATTGCTGGCAGCTCTCCCCACTTGGTGGGCAGCCAAGCTCTCCCCGAGCCCTGATGTGGCACAGCCTGGTCCCGGGGGAGCCCAGAGGCTTCTGGATGGGCACCGCATGTTGAGCAGATCATGGGAGCATGGGGATCACACGGTGACCTCCCCACGCCACCTCACCCCCTCTCTCTGCAGGTGCCGGCGTTGGAGGGGTGCCTGGCGCAGTGCCTGGTGTTGCTGGGGTGCCAGGAGTGACGCCTGGTGTCGGTGGTGTGCCTGGGCTAGTGCCGGGTGTGGGGGTACCTGGTACTGGCATCCTCCCCGGGGCAGGTACGTGCTTCCTCACACCCCCATGGGGACCTGCCTGGGGGCAGGGGTGGCCAGGGATGCTAAAAGCCACCAAGTCACATTGCAGGGTGGCCGGGGGGGATGCAGGCGGGATGGGGGATGGTGGCATGTGGGAGGGGCACAGGGGTGACCGTCCTAACTGTGGTGTCCTCATTTGCTTTGCAGGCATCCCCCAATTAGGGGTGCAGCCTGGTGCTAAACCTCCAAAATTGGGTAGGTATCTCTGCCACCCGGCCCCAAGGTCCACCTCAGGTGGTCACTGGGTACCCTTCTCATGTGGCCATTCAGGGTGCTGTCCTCACTTTGTGTGCCCTGGTGCCACAGTGGAAGGTGGCCCAGGCATTGGAGGTGGCATGCTGGCACCTATGGGTGCAATGTGCCATCTGTGCCCCCTCCCCTTGACTCACTAGGGACATTTTTAACCTCCTCTGCACTGCTTGCAGTGATGCATTACACAGGGGTGAGCCCCCTCCAGGTCTTCTTGCTCTGGGTACTGTGATATGGGTGTTGGGGCCACCTAGGATGGGTGTTAGGGCCATCTCAGTGGGTTTAGCACTGTCTGAGGTGCCCAGAATTGTGGTTGCTGAGCTGTGGGGGGACAAGTTAATGGTGTCTTTCTGGCAGGTGTTCCCGGGGTTGGAGTCCCAGGGATCAGCGGTGTCCCAGGTAGGTGCTAGCAGGAGCTGAACCCAGGCAGTGAGGATGGGGCGGCAGGGGGATGCCCTCCCAGAGGGATAAGAGGGGAGGGATGCTTCCCTAGGGCATAGGTGGCTGCCTGATGAAGGACAGGCACACGTCAGGCTAGGCCTGTCCCTGCTGGCACTCACTCAGGGTCCCCATCATAGGTGGCCTTGGAGTCGGTGGCCTTGGAGCTGGTGGCCTCGGAGTTGGTGGGCTTGGTGCTGGTGAGTGATGCTGGTCCCTGGCATCAGGGCTCTTCAGGGCTGGGGTCCAGGGAGAGGAGCAGCAGCAGCATGCTGGCAGAGTGCTGGAAAAGGAAGGGTTTGTATGGGATGCAGGGTTTGCAGGGTCACTTTTGTCCCCTCTGGGTCACACCACACACAGTCACTGTGCCCTGTGCCCCATCTTGTGTCTGCTGCCTGCCCTGCTCCCGGGCATCAGAAAGGAATGCTATCACCAATCAGGTACCAAGGGCCATAGCACCAGCGTTGCCATTCCATGGGGACAGGGGCTGGTACTGCACCGTGTCCCCAATATGCAGAGATGCGGGTCACTGCCCGGTGACCCTCTGGTCTCATAGCAGGGTCTGGCTGCACCACAGCAGCAGGGAGCCCCAGTGAGGGCTGCACTGATGCCCTTCTCTGACACAGGGCTCTTGTATCCAGGAGCTGCTGGGAAACCTCCCAAGCCAGGTAAGAAACAGGAGGTGCTCTGGCCGGGGGGGTTTAAAGTGTGACCCTCATCTCTGTCCCCATCCCCACCCTTGTGCCTACACTCCCCACCCTCAACAGGGTTCTCTCATCCCACAGGTTTTGGTGTCGGGGGGCTGCAGCCAGGTGAGTGCCCATGTTTGGGGTGGGGCGGGAGTATCTTCCCTGCCACATCACACTTGTCCCCACTTGCTGTCCTCACCTGCTGCCATCCCCTGCTGTGCACAGTACTGCCTGGGAGAGCACCCCAAACCCAGATAGGTGCCATGGTGGGGATAGGGGCTTTTGTAGCCGCTTCCATCCCTCCAAGTGACCCCAGCCAGGGTGCCCCAGCCAGGCAAGGCTGGGGTGGCACTGCTGTCATAACCTGTCACTGGCTATTGCTTTTTCCCCAGGGGTTGGAGTTCCCGGCTTCGGTGTGTCACCAATACTTCCAGGTACCATTCCCAGCTCTCTGCCTCGGCACCTCCCAGGGCACATTTTGTGACAGCTCATGGAGACACGCACAGCCCACGGAGCAGGGGGACATGGCCACAGCCTGGGGAAGGATGCAGGGTGGTGGACTGAGCTGGGGGCGCTTGGCTGGGGGGTGTGGGGCAAAGCAATAGGGGTGCCTGGTGACTGCTGAAGGCTCCACTCTCCTTTCAGGTGGGGTTGCTGGTCAGCTGGGATTTGGTGGTGAGTGTCCATCCCCCATATGGGGTATTTTTAGGGTGGAGGGGGTGTATCTATCCCCTGCACCCAGCGGCCGAGCAGGTTGGAGGTCCCACTCACCCCATTCCTCTCCTCCCTGCAGGGAAGCCCCCCAAGACCTATGGAGGAGCCCTCGGTGCCCTGGGCTTTAGAGGTGAGCGCTGCCACTGGTGACCCCCACCACAATGGGGCCGGCTCCTGCACCCGTGCCCTTCACCCCCACCCCCCGGGGTTGGAGGGTGCAGAGGAAGCCTGACCCTGCGCACATCCCCCTCCCCGCCCCCCACCCCCAGGCGGCGTGGGCTGCGCACAAGGGAAGTACTGCGGGAGGAAGCGGAAGTAACCGCACGTCGTCACCCATGACCTCATGAACTTTGGTGCTACTGCATGGTCCAGAATGTAAATCCCAAGCAAAGCTGAGACACCCCCACCACCCCCCACCCCCCAAAACCCCGGACCCAACGTTCCCAGGAGGGGCCCTGTGCCTCCGGCAGCGCTTGTCCCACCCCCAGCCCCTCCATCCCGGTGGGGAGCGCGGAATAAACTGCGGCGAGCAGCCGTCCCCCTTGGTGCTATTGCTCCCTGCGGGATTTGAGGGGCTCTTGGGGTGTCGCCACCCTACCAGCCTCAGCCCTGTCCCCGGAGGGGGGAGGTCAGGATGAGGGGCACCTCACATTGGAGGGAGGGAAGGAGGGAAGGGGGTCCCAGCAGCGGGGAGCTGCTCGGGGAGGGATGTCCCTGACAGCCCTGGGCTCCCCCCGGTCCCCGCGCTCCGGGGGGGGGGCGCGGCCAGGAGGGGCTCTGTCCCTTCATGTTACTCACTTTGCTATAACCGGGTGGGACGCCCTATGCAGAGGAACTCACTTCCGACAGACAAATAAAAGACAAGTTTTTAAATGACTCTGGCTCTGTCCTGTGTCCTAGTTCCTCTCCCTGTGGTGGTGGCAGCGGTGGATGCCACTGCTCCATCTCTGTGCCTGTGGCTCTGCCTAAGCCTGGGGACTAGCTGGGTCCGTGGTCGGGGGGATGCCGTGTGCCCCACTCTGTGGTCACAGACCTAGGACACAGCGGGTAGGTGAGGGGAGAGCCTGGGGACCCAGGGGTGTGCCCATGTTCCCACGGTGGCAGCTTGGGGATGGAGGGACATCCATGCCCTGTCCCACAGTGACATCCCCAGGGATGATGGTTGCTCTGCCCCATGGTGACAGCTGAGGGATGCAGGGACACGTGCATGCCACGTCCCATGCGGACAGCCTGAGGACCAAGGGGTATGTCCATGCCCCTTGGTGTCAGCCCAGGGGACGAGGAACACATCCATGCGCTGCGCCATGGTGACAGCCCGGGGGATAAAGGGGACACCCGTGCCCTCCCCATGGTGACATCCCCAGGGAGGATGGGGACGTCCTCCCGCTACGCCGCCGTGGCAGCTGGGGTCCCAGGCCTGCGCCCCGCGGCACGGTGCCAGCCGGGCCAGCGCACGGGGCTCCCACGGTGCCCGCCGCGACAGCACGGGCTGCACGGCTCCCACGCCTCCCACGTCAGAGAGCAGAGCTCGCCCCGCCCCCTTCGGCCCCACCCCCCCCCCTCCGACCACGCCCCTCCCGCGGCCGCGCCGGCGCTGTGCTCCCGCCGGGCCATCCCCGCGCGTCGGAGCCGCAGCGGCAGCGGTAGGGCCGGGGCCCGATCGGGCCGGGACCGGAACCGGAACCGGAACCGGAACCGGACCCGGACCGGACCGGACCGGACCCGACCCGACCCGGGGCGAGGGCGGGGGCGAGGGCAGGGCCTGGCGCGGCGCCGGGCAGTGCGGCTGCATGAGGTTGATGCTGCTGTGCTGCACCTGGAGGGACGAGCCTATGGGAGAGGACGAAGGTGCGTGACCCCCTGCGCTCCCCTCCCCCGCCTGACTCAGCGCTTCCGTCGCCGCTTGGGCCCTGCGACCCCCCCCCCCCGCGCCCAGCCTTCGGCCCCGCGCACCCCCTGCTCTCACCGCCCAGACTGCACCCCCTGCACCCTCCTCTGCACTCTCCATCCAGCTTGCATCCCCCCCACACCCTCTCCACAATCTTCAGCCAGCCAACGTGCCCCTGCACCCGCAGATCACCCTCTGCACTCCCCATCCAGCCCGCATTGCACCCTGCCATCCCCCCTGCACCCCTTTTCTAGCCTGCAACTGTCTTGTCCCCCTGCATCTCCCATGCACCCCCTGTTCGGCCTGCATCTTTCCCCTGCTCTACCCATCTAGCCTGCATCCCACCTGCACCCCCACATCCACCCTGCACCCCTCATCCAGCCCACATTGCCCCCTGCATCCCCCTGCACCCCCTTTTCAGCCTGAATCCTCAAATCTCCTCCTGCACCCCCTATTTATTCAACCTGTATCCCCACCCTGCATCCCCTTGGTCAACCTGCATCTGCCCTGCACTCTCAAATTTCCCCTTGCACTTCAGCCTTCATCCCCCATGTACCCCCAGATCTCCTTCTGTACCACTTCTTTAGGCTGTAACCCTACTGCATCCCTGCCCACACCCTCCATCCAGCCTGCATCCCTCCCTGTACCACAACATCCCCCTGCTGCATCCCATCCAACCGTCATCCCTTCTGCAGCATACAAACACCTTGCACCCCCCACATCCCCTCCAGCCTGCATCCCTCCCTGCAGCATACAAACACCTTGCACCTTCCTTCCTGCACCCCAATATCCCTACCCCCCTATGCCTCATGCCTCCTTCCCTGCACCACCACATCCCTGCTGTGCCTTCCATGCACTCTGCACCCCTAGCACATCTCACCCTCCTCACACCCTGAGGATCTCTGCAGCCCCCCCATCTCTCACCTCTTTCCATTCTGCAGACCACCCCCAACACCCATCCTGCACCCCTTGCTGTCTCTGCACTGATCATATACCCCATCCATGCTGCATCCCTCTCTGCCACCCCAGCACCCATCCTGAACCCCTCTGTTGTCCCCCCCGCACACCGTGCATCCCCCAGCACACATCCTGCACCCCTCTGTCGTCCATTCCCCATTCACCCTACATCCCACAGCACACATCCTGCACCCCTCTGTGTCTCCCCCATGTGCTTTATGTCCCACTGGATCCCTCCTTCACATCCCTTCCAGTCTGACAGTCTTTATCTTCCCCTACACCCATCCTGCATCCCTCCTCTGCCCCCTTCCTGCCGCCTGTCATCCCTCCCGCACCCATCCTGCATCTCAGTATGTGCTCCCGCTCCCATCCCACCCCTCCTGCATGTCCAACCGCAAGCACTAAGCACCCCTCCCTCCATCTGCGATGTCTCAGTGCACCCCAAGCATCTGTCCTGCTGTCCCCAGCCCCCCATCACCCCTGCACCCCCCTACTTGCCTGTTCCCTGTGATGGCTAAGCCCTTGCCTCCCCTTCAGCACCTCTGTGTTGCACCCCTAGGTCCCCAATCCTACCCCGTGCCCCTCAACCACTCTGTGTCCCCCCATCCTATGGGCACCCACGATTAGGTCCCCGGGGTACAGGGGTGGCCTGGCACAGCGGGACCTGACTGGCACTGAGGCCCTGCCCTGTCCCCAGCTCTGGGGACATCGTCACCACGACCTTGTCCCCGTTAGAAGATTGATGGGTGGGGGCCGGGGGGGTGAAATTCATCACCCTGAATGGAGCGACAAGGACAGAGGGACATCCTGGGGGCTGTGCCTGCGGGTAGCTGGCAGGGTGACAGCCGTGTCCCCATTATGTTCCCCCCTCCACGCAGGGACCGACCTCCCGGTGTGTGCGAGCTGCAGGCAGGGCATCTATGATGGGCAGTACCTGCAGGCGCTGAACGTGGATTGGCATGCCGACTGCTTCCGGTAGGAGCGCGCGGTGCAGCCAGGACAGCAGCGGGGACACCGGGATGCTGCCGGGGACAGGAACAGCAGATCCCACTCCTGCCCTGACGACCACACACAGGAGGCTGTCACATGCACCCGAATGCTGGCAGGAGCACAGCTGCAGGGTGCAGGCAGGCCTGGCTGGGGGATGCAAAGCCTGGCAGAGGGCCCCACTGCCTGCACCCCACTGCTGTCCCTTCCTGCCCAATGACCCGTGACGGGACGTGTGGGGCTGATGTCACCCATCCTCCTCCCTCCCTCTCTTGTTTCCTCTTTCACTCCCAGTAGCTTGAGCTGTGGGAGCTCTGCAGAGGACGAGGAGGAAGGTCCCAGGTTTGGGGGGCACAAGGGGTGGCTGGGACCTTGCAGGTGTCCCAGTGGGGGTGGGGGTGTCGAGCACAGCAGGGCACGGGGGTGGTCCCCTCCATCACGTCCCGTGGAGGATGCTGGTAGCAGCACTGAGGAAGAGCCACATCCTGAGCTCCGGAGCCAAGTGAGTGGGTTGGGATGGATGCTGCACCCCTATGGCCCTCTGGGAGATGCTTGAGTCCACCCTCCATGGGCTGTCAGTGCAGTGAAACCGCTGTGGGGCCATAGCTGTATCCAGCCCCCCACAACTCCCCGGCTGCCCCATGGGAGACCAGCTTCCGGCAGCACGGGGCTCACTGGTGCAAAAACCTTTCTCCTCTCCTCTCCTCCTCCTCCTCCTCCTCCTCCTCCTCCTCCTGTGCCCACCACCCCGTGGAAGGAAGTGTGGGCCCCAGCCCCATGTCACTCATCATGGGGGGGATACGGCTCCCCATCGGGGCACTCGGCAGCGTGGGGGTTAAGAGGGCGGGGCCCAACAGCCACACCCCTCCCCCATTGCGCCTCTGCTCCGACTCCTGGCGCGGGGGAGGCCTGGATCTGGCGGTAGAGTCCTCTTGCGATGATGTCATGGGGTGGGGAAATTCCCTGTCCTGACGTCACGCCTGATTGGTTGGATACCACCTGAGCGCGGCACCCGGCCCCGCCTGCGGCAGTCCCCGTGCACCCCCCCTGCACCCCCCGACTGCCCCCTCTGCACCCCCTGTGCAACCCCTGTGCACCCCCCGACAGCCCCCCCTGCACCCTCCCCTGCACCCCCCAGCGCCTCTAGTACCCCAGCAAATCCCCTTGAGCACCCCCTTGTACCCCCGATGCAACACAGCACTCCTGCACCTGCCTGTGCACTCCCAAAGTTCACAGCCCCCTCTGCATGCCTGGATGCACCCTCCCATCACACAGCCCTGTGCACTCCTGCACCCCCAAGTCGTGGCCCCAGTGCAGCTTCTGCATCCTCACTGTGCATCCCCCTCCTTCATGCTAGTAACACGCAGAGTGCTGCACCCTCAAGGCTGGCACATCCCTCTGTCTGTAGCCAGGGTGGCCCATCCCTCTGTGTCTCTATGACCAGGCTGGCACTTTGTTGCAGGGCTGGCATCTCCCTCCCCACACATGTCCCTGCTCCACGTCCTCTGTCCTGTTCAACCCTGTGTCTCTGCAGTGCCAGTCTGCGCTGCTAGTGACACATGGATGTGGTGGCCCTGCAGCAGGGAAAGAAGTGGGGGAAACAGCTTGCCCAGGGAGCTGTAGGGCTGGTGGGCAGGGGGACACTGGCTTTTCCCTGGGGTGACAATGGAGATATAGTGACAAGGGGGACATGGTGACTAGGGGGTCCTTGTCCCTTGCCACAGGTGCTGTGAGTGTGGGGCCTCCCTGTCCCACCAGTACTACGAGAAGGATGGACGCCTGTACTGTAAGAAGGATTACTGGGTGCGCTTTGGGGAGCTCTGCCATGGCTGCTCTGAACAGATCACCAAGGGGCTTGTCATGGTGAGCGTCAGTGGGGACATCGGGGAGACAGACACAGAGCCCTGACCCACGACTCAGCTCCAGGAAGGGGGTGAGGTGGGAAGGGTGTGCAGGTTTAGAGGGACCCTGGAGGGTGTGCCACCATGCTGGGGCTCCGGGATGCAGGGTGGAAGGCCCACAGATGGTGGGGAGATGTCCTTGT